TCTCTCTCTCTCTCTTTCTCTCTTCACTCTCTCTCTCTCTCTCTCTCTTCTCTCTCTCTCTCTCTCTCTCTCTCTCTCTCTCTCAGGGCCGTGGCGGTGACGCTGGTTCATGCGCTTGCAATCAGCGTAAGCGTTTATCCCCTCCAGCTAGTCCAGACCGACGCCAACAAACACGGATCGTGACGATGTGATGATGACGGATTCCATAATGTAATGGCCTGTTGACAGTTTCCCGGAGTTTCCCAATGGAGAGGGACAGCAGCAGGAGGAGGAGGAGGGGGAGGGGTGTGGGAGTATATAGGTGGGTATGAACCGCTTGTTGATCTATCGCTTCTCTCGTTGCAGGTGAAGCGACCACGACTCGATAGCAGCTCCGAAGCGAGCGAAGGACTGCTAGCGCATAGCCAGTGAGTATATAGCATGTCCGTATATGCATCTACCTGCTTTTATATACCTATATACCTGCCTATATGCACTTATATATATACCTGCTTATGTATACCTATATACCTGCATATATGCACTTATATATACCTGCTTTTATATACCTATATACCTGCCTATATGCACTTATATGTACCTGTTTTTATATACCTATATACCTGCCTATATGCACTTATATATACCTGTTTTTATATACCTATATACCTGCATATATGCACTTATATATACCTGTTTTTATATACCTATATACCTGCCTATATGCACTTATATATACCTGTTTTATATACCTATATACCTGCATATATGCACTTATATATACCTGTTTTTATATACCTATACCTCCATATATGCACTTATATATACCTGCTTCTGTATTCCTATATAACTGCTTTTTATTTACCTGTTTCTATATACCCATATAATTGCTTATATATATTTATATAATTACTATATACCTATATACCTATAGACCTGCGTCTGTATATATCTAACTGCTTCTATATATATATATATATATATACCTATATACCAGCTTATATCTTTTCGTACGTGTAACAGTTGTTTAGTAACCAACGGCGGGCACTTGGGCCGCTTCGATAGTAAAACGATGGTAAATTGTATTTACTATCAAAGTTTTAATGTTTATCTACTCTGTATATATCTCCTAGTAATTTCTTTTTAAAAGCCGTTAAAATGCTGTTCTACAACTTAATACTGCGCACGCACGCCACTGCTCACAAACTCACACGAACGATATAGACTATATTTTGTGAGTTTGTATACCCAGCGGCGTACGTACGGCAAGATTTTGTGTTGTAGCGCAGTATTTAAACGGAATTTACGTGGATTTTTTTAAGGCATAAACATAAAATTACATAAACATAAAAGTAAATAAAAGTACATAAACATTAAATCTTCGGCAGTAAATACGATTTGTGTTTATTTACCATCGTTTTTTTATTATTGCAATGAACGCATTGAAGCGCATGCAGCGTCAGCGTCGACAGCTATCGCGCGCGTGAATGTCGCGTGAATTCACGTGTAGGTGCTTGAGCCGCACTGGCCGCTAGTCACGGGTTCACGCGCGCGGCTGTTACATCTACCGGCGTCACCCAGAAGCTCTGGTGAATTACACATGGGTCACGTGGGAGAGCGCATCGCCTGTTGTTTTCGCAGTCATTCCTGACATATATATACATACATAGAATATATATATATATATACATACATATATATACATAGAATATGTATATATATATATATACATAGAATATATATATATATATATATATATATATATATATATATATATATATATACATAGAATATATAATATATATCAATAGAATATATATATATATCATAGAATATATAATATATCAATTAGAATATATATCTATACTATATAATAATTTTCATACTTATATAGTATATGTATTTTATTCTCCGCTCCGTGAAACCCTCTGTCAGGTGGGGGGTTTTGTTTGTTGTTCCCCTGTGTGGTGTGTGTGTGTTCTGGTGGTGTGTTGGCATGAGTGGTCCCGTGAAAGATTTGGGTGGGCTAGCGTGTAATGTATGACTTTGTGCTATTGTACTCGTGCGTCCTATAATGAACACTACAGATATGTTTTTTGGAGTTTTCTCGTCCATAGAGAGCGAAAATATATTAGGCTCATAATTTTCTATTAAGAATTTAATAATTGTCGTCTTCATTGTTCATCTCCCGATGTTCTCCTTCCTGTCTGCTTGTCTCTCTTTTTCTGTGTCGCCCCTCCCTTCTCTTCTCTTTCTCTCTCCCACAAACTTTTCTTGCTTTCTTCTAGTCTCTCTCTGTCTCTCTCTCCCCTTTTCTCTCTCTGTGTCTCTCTCTAATCTCTCTCTCTATCTCTCTTCTCTCGCTGCTTCTCTCTCTCTCTCTCTCTCTCTCTTCTGCTCTCTTCTCTCTCTTCTCTCGCTCTATCGCTCTCTCGCCTCTCAATCGCTCTCCTCCTCTCATCTCTCTCTCTCTCTCTCTCTTCCCCTCCCTCTCTCCTCTTTCTTCTCTCTGCTCTCTCTCGTCTTCTCTCTCTCTCTGTAGTCTTTCTCTTTCTTCTTTCTCTGTCTCTCTCTTTCTGCTCTGCTTTCTCTTTCTCTCTCTTTCTCTTTCTCTCTCTCCTCTTTCTTCTTCTCATCTCTCTCTCTCCCTCTCCTCATATTATCTCTCTCTCTCCCTCCCTCCCTCTCTCTGTCCCGCTTTCTTAGTCGCATACCATCTCAACCTCCTTTTCTCTTACCCTCGTGCGTTCCTTCTCTTCCCCCTCTCTCTCCATCTATCTCTCTTCATCTATCTCTCTCTCCATCTATCTCTTTTCTACAGCCCGATTGAAACTGTTAAATATTTGCCTCGCGCGCTACGCGGACGCATATTTATCCCGTTCGCACCGCTACGTACGCGGGCTGCTGCCATTAAACGCTGTCCAAAGTGAAGGGGAGAAAACGTGCGCTTTTCAACGGCATTCTCATTAGAGGCTGATAAATCAAACTGCGAGAAAAAACATTGACAAATCAGCAGCACATTTGGACAAGCTGCCGCGCGGATAATAAGAAACAGACCAAAACAGGGCGACTGGCCCCCGCTAAAGTAGACCAGTCACTCTGACAGTTCCCACGCGGGATGGCCCCACGAGCGAGCGGCACCGAGAGGGATGTTGGGAGCGTGGCGCGCAGGGCACCCAGGGGGATGTTGGGAGCACGGCGAGCTGGAATACTGGGAGCATTAATGGAGCAACGCAAGATTATGCCCCAGGTACCGACAGATAGACAAACAGACGGAAGGACGGACGGACGGACGGACGGACAAACATACAAACAGACAAACAAACAAACCTAGAAAGGTTGGCTTTCTTAGAAGACGTCGGCGTGGCTGCCTGTCGTCGGTTCGCCCTGTCGCTGCAGTGTGCAGGCAGTCGGCAGGGCGGCGGCGGCGGCGGCAGTGCGGGCACACACGCGGCAGCTGTGCAGCAGTGCTGTGGTGCAGCCGTGTATTTATGGCCTCGTTCTCCGCGCTTTTATTGAATGTAATGAAATGGCGCGTTCAGTTTAGAGCCACTTCTCGCTGCTTTACTCGCGCCATTACATTGCTTCTTGTTTCTTCGTCTTCGCTGGGAGCGAGGAATGCCGCCGCTATGCGCTGCTCACGCACGCACGCACGCACGCACGCACGAACACACGCACGCACGCATGCATGCACGCACGTACGCGCGCCGCCTTTTTCTCGCCCGCGCCGTTTTTTCGTCGCCCGCGAGTTCCGCGCATGCGCACTCGTTCGACACGGTCTCGTTTCGTCGGTGGGTCCGCGGCTGCCTCCCTCCCCCCACCGGCTCTCCCTCCCCGCGCGTACACCTTCAGTCGTTAAACGTTGAAAAATGTCGCCGCGATTCCCTTTTGTTTTGCCCACGAGCGCCATCTATCTGATGACCCACATCATCGCGCAGGGTGAGGGGCGATGCGTCGTGGTGGGGTGGGAGGGGTGGGTGGGGGAGTAGGGTCGTGTGCTGATGCTAGGGATGACGGCCTTGCAGCGGGTGGCAAAGATGGAGATTCTGTGTAAACCTACGTTAGTACCAGCATTGCAACAACAGCGGGGAATTAACATAACAAAAATATTTACTTTAATTAAACAAAAGCCTTATTCTCGTGTGTAAGTGAAAACAACGATACCAGACAACATATTCGCAGCCGACTGCTACAACCTTCCCCCCATCACACAGCAGTCAGACTACACAAAGCGCTAAATTAGCAAAATTAGCAAAACACGGAAGCCCCGTGGCGCTATTCGCTATTTCGCTGGTACCGCCGAACATTAATAACTGAAGAAATAAGCGTAACTTCATACTGGACTAACTTCAGACTCCAACGGACCGCCATGGGATTTACTTTATTTTTGCCGACAATGATGATGATGAGATGTAGAACAGCGTGGATATACATTTTGTTACGTGATATTACGTTGCTGCTATCGTGGGCTGTGTGTGTGTTGTGTGTGTGGTGTGTGCGTGGCGTGCGTGCGTGCGTGCTGTGGCGTGCGCGTGCGTGCGTGCGTGTGTGTGTGTATGTGTGCGTGCGTGGTGCCGCGTGCTATTCGGGGCGCGGCGCGTGTACATGTGGTGTGTGTGTGGCGCGTGGCGTGCGTGCGTGCGTGGCGTGTGTGTGTGTGTGCGCGTGGCGGTTGCGCGTCGTGCCGTGTGTGTGTGTGTGTGTGTGTGCGTGTGCGTGTGTGTGGTGTGTATGTGTGTGTGTGTGTGTGTGGTGTGTGTGTGGGTGCGTGAGTGAGTGAGCGCTGCATGCGTGTGTGTGTTGTGTGCGTGCGGTGCGTGGCGTGCGGTTGCGTTCGTAGGCGTGCGTGCGCGTGTGTGTGCGTGTGTGTGTGTGTGCGTGGCGGTGTGCGGGTGTTGTGCGCGTAGCGGGCGCGTGTACGTGTGTGTGTGTGTGGGGGGGGGGGGTGAGTGTGTGTGTGTGTGTGTGTGTGGTGTGTGGTGTGTGTGTGTGTGTGTGTGTGTGGTGTGTGGTGTGTGTGTGTGTGTGTGACTGTGATGTGTGTGTGTGTGTGTGTCGTGTGGTGTGTGTGTGTGTGTGTGTGTATGTGTGTGTGTGTGTGTGTGTGGTTGAGTGTGTGAGTGTGTGAGTGTGTGAGTGTGTGTGTGTGTCGTGTGGTGTGTGTGTGTGTGTGTGTGTGGTGTGTGTGTGTGTGTGTGTCGTGTGTGTGTGCGTGGCGTAGTGTGTGTGTGTGTGTGGTGTGTGTCGTGTGTGTGTATCGTATAGTCTATCCGACACGCCGATATGCTAACGTTTTTAGTTTCACGTTTAGCGCACTTCCTGAATGTCACGAATGCTCTCTACAGCAGTTATTCAAGCTTATTCGGCGTTACGCGTGGCAAACAAGAGACGCGCGCGTGCATACGCGCAGTGCCGTGCGTGGGCGTGC